CTATATTAATATAATTTTCTATGTGGTTCATTAAGATAGGATGAGTTTGGGCTTCGAGATAACATATTAAATGCTCTGATACAAAAATATTTATTTTTAGAATAAATTAAAGCAAGACATACATTCATATCAATCATTGTGATTCAATTTTGTTATATTATTTATTAGCATTTATTGTACCTATTTATTTATTGTTAACATTGTTCTTTATAAAATATTAATGGTAATCTTTAAATCTATTTTATTTCGATTTGTAGTACCCATTGTACATTACTGCTTCATTTCATTTATATTTCACGAGTAGTAATAACCATAATTCCCTAGCTTCAACACGAACAGCACAAGCTTACAGGAGGTACCTAGGTTAATCAAATCTGTAACTAATTTTACTATTTAATCTGTAATATATGTTTGATTTTCTAAAATAAAACTATTTTTAGTCATGTCAAAGCTATGTATGGCTATTATTATTATTATTACTCGATTAGCACCCAACTCTTTTGACGGGGACCAGCTTTCAGCTACGATATAAAAAACTTGCTTTACATAAGATTTTAAGTTTTCTAGATTACTATCTAAACACAAATCAGCGATAAAGCGATAAGTGAGTATGATACATATTATTATATGTTCATACACTTTATAATAATATACATAAACCAACAAACAGCATACGAGTATAATTAATTAATAGTTATTAACTATATTGGTGTTTAATATATATTATAGTATAATTAAAACAATAACAAATAAAGAATTAAGGACAAGACATATTACATAAAATAAATTTGATATACAATTATTAATTTAGTTGAAAAATAAATTAAAATACACAAATGAAATGTAAAATAAAGTTGTAAAAAGCATTTCTTACATACAACAAATTTATTGTATTGGTTACAAATAGAATTTAGTACAATGATAATCTGTCCAATTGTACTTTTTCAAACAAATTAATCATCATTGGTATTAGATTTTTTAACATAATATAACATTACTTATATTTCTGAAATACATAAAACAATAAAAGTTTGACCATGTAACTTGTCAATAGTACAGGAAACTGTACTCGTCGCATTATGAATGACAGGTCATATTATACACTCAATGTGAATGGTATCACAGGTATAACAATGTCTTACTGTGCATTACTAAACAACATCCTAGCCTTAAAGTTGAAAAAAATTACACAATTTTCACATTATTGTCATCTAATTGAGCTGTTATTGTCATTGGTAATTGCCACGTCCACTTCTTGATTGCTGTGTGGTGCATTGGTGCAACAATCTCTATGACCAGTTGATTTTGTATTACCTATAACATTGTATATAGTCAGTTTTAATGTCTGTATAAAGTGAAACAATAAATAAATTTAATGAATTAGTGACATACATAATTCAAAAATAAATGAACAATTAGTTGAAGTCATTTTTTTTAATATATATTATAATAAAGTGATAAAAGAATGATTATAGTATTTACATTATATATAGGTGCATACAATGAATAAGTTAAATAATAAAAACATAAAGCAAAAATATTTAATATTATAATATTGAATTATTAGCAACTAATTTTAGTATTAATTTGAGTTTATATGTAACTAGTGAATGATAAAGTCCGAATAACATAGTTTTTAAAATGAAATAATATGATTGATATGTATTCGATAATTATTTTAAAATTTATATTTTTGTACAAAAATCATCTGTAAGTCCAACAGTAGTCAGTATGACACAATGTCATAAATTTTACAGTAACACTCAAAATGAAATAATGAATAAAAATTATATGATGATATTTACTTCTTCATTTACAACAGTGGGTGCTTTTAAGTCCAACATCTCCTTATCAAAGAATAAACAGAATTTCTACAATAATTTTAGTTCCATGCATTAGATCAAAAGTTGCTGAAATGGTATATATTATAAATGTTTATGAGAATGTAATATGTATATGTATAAACATAGGTAGCAGTTATCAGAATAAATCTGAACATTAAACATATTATGTGTTTTTAATTATTTATATATTATTAATCACTTACTAAAGACGGCACTTATCTGTAAAACAGATTTTGACGATTGATGTGTGTTGTGTAGTGACCACGGATAAAATTTCTTGAACCCAGTTTCAAAGAGGCAAATATCTATTGTACATCCATACCAATATTCTCACCTGTGCAAGAAAATCTTTTGAGACCATCAACAGATGAGACATAACTTGACCATAATGATAGACCTAAAAAACCGAAGTTTATAATAACAATTTAACATACATTGTAAATATGTAATACAAAATAATTGAACATGAACATATTTAATGATATTTACAAAAACATATTTAATATGATCATTTTTAACTCTTTCAATATACAGTATACAATTAACTTTAGCATTAAAATAAAAACATACATGTATAAAGTATTATATTATATTTTATACTATGTAAATACTAAATAAATAATAAATAATAATACATGCCTACTACATGGTACATACACGTCTTGGTCTTAATCTTAAATCTTAATGTATAATAATAATTATAATTATTATTTAATGTTATCTGTATGTTATCAGTGTTATCACTTATCAGTGTTGATTATATAGGAACTCAGAATTCCAAACGTTATGAGTTATTTTTAGAAACTCTGTCGATAATTAATAGTGTGTACTGTGCTCTGTGCTGCTGTGTAATGTGTATTATCTAAATGTTAAAGAAATATTAAAATTTAAAACTCGTAAAAATAGAATTGAACAAACAAACTCAAAGGAAAAATATGAAGTGACGTCCAACATTGATTACAGGAACGTCATATAAATCACGCACGAACTTTCGAATTAAGAGTATTTTAAGGTGTATACTTGTGTGACTGTAATAAATATACATTTGTCATTTACGCAAGATATGCAAGTACGTTGTCATAATTAATAAAACTTGTACTCGTCAGTCTCCAAAACGTCGAGCATATTAAAAAAAAAAATCATTAGCAAAAAGTTTCCACTGCTCTCTTCTAAACTCATCAGGTTGATGGGAACCTGGAGTTGTCCTGGGTGGGAGTGGGACGACGGGGAAATGTTGAAGAACAATAGTTTTACCATAACAATCGGTTATGGTAAAATAGTTTTCCGTTTATTAAAAGAAAGAAAATAACATAACAGAAAACACGACGTTAAAATGGTGACAATCTATATTAAAAGGTAAGCACAGTACGGGTCGTAGGACGTAAGTTACAATCGCGTACGGTGCGGTGGTTAAAACACTTAAAAAGTTAAAACTGAATCCGTTCCAGGGGCCGGGCCGGTTCGCGGTGTCGGCGGCCGAAACCGAAACGTTCCGACGCCGTTATCGTGCGTCGGCGTCATCCGTCATCGACTGGCGGTTGGATCAGTTGGATAGAGAAGTAGAAGTCATTCCGCGGTTTTCCGCGTAAAGTCCGTTTGAATTCAAACGGATTTTAGTATATTACGCGGGACCGCGTCAAGGTGCAATTCACTTCAACCTTCTCACCCAACTCATCGTCGCTTAAAACGAGGTCGTAGTAAATTAATATTAATGTATTAATATATATATATATATATGTTACGGTAAATGATGTTATATCAGAAATTAACGTTATTCGCCGGTTATTAACGTTATTTACCTACGAATGTGGGAATTATCGTTATTTTCTAGTGAATAACGTTAATAACCGTATGATTTGGGAAATTTTGATCTGATTATAAAATAAAAGAGGTTATTGCGGAAGATTTAAAAAAATAACCAAAGAACCAATCATCAAAGAAGACAAAATCGAAAATTAAATCATAGAAATCGCAGAAAAAAATTCGGAACTTGGTACTTAAATATTTTTTAATTATTTAACGATAAATTTCCGAATTTTAAATATAACAAAAATAAAACTAAAATATAAATATTTGAAAATTATTTTAAATATTTTTTTGATGATTGTCAAGAAAATATTTGTATTGCATGTAAAAATTCAAAAAAAAATTTAGAAAAACAAGGAGAGGAAATGATGAAATTTTCTAAAGAAAAGTTTCCTCAGCTTGAAATAGGCTTAACTGTATGTGTATTTATACCAAACGTTGATAGAGCTCGTGGTTCTATGCAAAATATACTATCAGTTGTCACTCAAGTTGAACATGATTTATACAAACTCTGTAAGTTAATTCTTAATGAAAAAATATACTATTAAAATTAAAATTTGTTTTATTATTTTATAAATACGGAATATAGTTTTCTAAAAATATTATTTCACATGCCAAAAATAGCTGTTTGCAAATAAAATCTATTAGACATGGACAATGTGATAAAATTAGCAGATGGTAGACAGTTGACACTGAGGGAAGTAGCTAGTAATGATTCGGTTGCGAGCCCTCGAAGGTACCAGCGTTGTCATTGCAAGACTAGTTGTAATAATAATAAGCATTGTGCCTACCTTGGGGCTGAAAAATTATGTTATATTAAATGTCATGGGAGTAAAACTTGTAAAAATAAATAAAAAATAATAATGCATTTATTCTATTTTTAAAAATATCTGGGTACTTACATAATTTTTCAAATTGTAGTATTTGAGATTCATGCGCTTATCTGATTTATAACATCAATTACCTGTGTATTTGGTCATTAACGTGATTATCCAGTTTATAACGATAATTACCTGTATATTTGGTAAATAACGTTAATAACCGGTGAATAACGTTAATTTCCATTTAACATCATTTACCGTAACATATATATGTATTTATGTGGTGAATTTAAACATTTTCATTTTTCATAAACTATTTTTCGATTATCACCGATGGACCGAATGAATCGATTGATAGATCCGCGACATTGGTATCAATGTATCATACATCATTACATCAACACATAGTATCGGTAACTGAATACGCCATGTGTATTGTATTAGTGTATTACATAATCCGATAATTATCTTGTGAGTTGTGAGTAAACTGTAAAGTTGTGAACTCAGTTGTCGTCTTGTCGGCTGTCGCCACTATTGGCAGTTGGCACTCTATTCGTTCATTATTCACTATTCACTATTTAATATCAATATTCATTTTCAATTTGAACTTTGAAGTTTGAAGATGGAACGACCCGATTGAGGAGTATTAAGTACACATTATTACATTATATTTTGTTTTAACTATTGAATAATTTTTTTTTTTTTTTAATTTAATAGCACGGAACGCGCATTCAATATTAATGACTCTTTGGGGTCACATTTTAATGTAATCTTCGAGCAATTATACGGTGGTTGGCGGCCGTAGACCACGTGGCGGCGGTAATACAGGAAGAAGTATGAATAATATGAATGGGAGATGGTAATTTGCGCTACACTATCAACTTTCGGCCACATGGCCAAATATTGTAAGCGTGTTTCATATACTTTTAAATATAATATTATGGTAGTAGTTGTGGAGAAGGTTGGGGAGGTGGCAGCCGCTATAGATAGATTGGCCATCGATGTAAGTAATATTAAAAGAATTATTTTGTTATAATCATTATGTTGTAAAATACATGTTTTATAGGAACCTAAAGATTCTGATCATTCAAATGTGGCTAGGTCCTCACTTAGTATTGTGCTAAACAGCTCCCACCCGTTCCTGGTTTCAAAAGGGAGAAAAAAAAGGTCCTATTTCACATGTTGTCATGTCAATTAATTTATCATTTGAACGTCTGAGTGAGTACATGTTATTACATTATATTTTTCTATGTTTTTTTTTAGGTTAACATTTCATTTTAGTTATTGAACAACATTTTATATTTTTAAATTAGATAAAGACAGTGGGTTGTATGTTCCAGTTCATTATTCACCAACTGCAGCTGCTCTGCTCAGAGTTACGGTTTACTTAACTGTTTCCTTCGAGCAGCAAAAAAACGTGGCAATAAAGCCAAAAGTAATTATGAATCAAAAGTGTATTAATAGGGAGCCGAAGGGACATGGGCTCCCTACAAAATAAAAACTTATATACATCATTAGTATGAATAATAAGATTAGCTATTGTAATGAATATTATACAATTTTATAAATTTCAAAATACTACAACTGCTGTAAGCATGAGCATATAACCCGCAATTGTAAGTATGTTTCATGTACTTATATAATATGATTGTTGCACTTAAACAATACATTTTAATTATTTTGCGTAATTTCAGGCAGGAGACTGTGGAGGTGGTAAAGGCTGCAGTGGTGACAATAAGGTTAATGGCCGAAATGTTCATTGGTGTAAATAATTTTAAGAATATTTTTTTGTTATAATTATTGTATTGTATAATATATTTTTTATAGAAATCAGATGAACTATGTCTGGTATTGTTTTTAATTTATCAACTTAAGTATTTTACATTAGTATTTCTAATTTGTGTGTAATAAGAAAATTATATTATATGATTTTTGGTAGGAAAACCAATTTGTCTTTAAATACTCTGGCTTCAAGCACTGGTTGATGAATATCATGTTTAACAACTACTAACTAGCAATGAAGTATGAGTTGTCGGTAGATCTCTTGAACCCAACAAGTACTGCTGATCAATAGTATGTTCCGGATCCTTCGCAAAACCGTTGAATCCGGCTACCCCACCAAGCCTAAAGCTCTACGCTATCGTGTACGGACCTGGCCTCTCCCCTATTTGTCAATCACGTGCTCGGCCGTGCTCCCCATATTTGTATATCACATCACTAGGTCTTACGAATTCGAGTCATATAACCATTGTATTTACTTCTAAGTACAGTTTTATTAATAATTTAAATGAAATAAAGACATGATATGTATAAAAATTATTTTTTATTCATTGAAATAATATTAAGTTTTACAATAAATATTTACATTGTTCTTACTTCGCCATTAAATAGATTATAAGTTATAATTTAGTCATGTAATATTAAGGAATATGCCGAAGTGGAAGCTGAAACACTTCTTCGGTCTCAATCTCAATCCTTAGTCAACAGTCAACGTTTTTACATTATCTTTCTGGCTACCTACTCATATCCACAACCATAATTGGTGATAGTTTTTTGAAATTTGATCGAGTCAATAGAGGAATAACATTATGATCATAATAGGATTTCTGGAACTCGGTATATGCGTGGTATAATGTAGCCATATTGTTTTTAGTAAAGTTGCCATGAAAATCTTCGTAGAAGAATACTTTCGAATTTAAATAAACCTTGAAGTTTTTGATTTTACTATGATCAAAACATGATATTGCTTTACTCATACTGTTTTTCCAATCAGTTTGAAATCCGATCTGATTATAACATGTTGAGGTTTTTTTAATCTGTTATATGTTTTTATTTTCCACAAATGTGATGTGTTTTAAGATTGATTGTAAAAATGGGTATTCACACAACTCCTACGATCTAAAATATCTAAATGCACATTTTAGAGATTTCTGATAATTTACTACTTTCAACAATTGTATATTTTTTTTCTTTATCACTAACCTCCCAGACAGCAATTCGATAACATCAATATTATAATAACTTTAGAACTTGATTAAACAATGATTATTACTTTTGTAACCTTATTACAACATTATAATAAACTTAAAAAAGTAATATTAAAATTGAAATGTTTTAGTAATGTGCTATTTAAGTTGTTTTTGTAATATTGAATTTTAAATCCTATAATAATATAATAAGATGATTTTATCAATGAAACTAGAACCGGTGAAACTCGCTGTAAGTGAATACCCTAGGTAGGAGACAGCACTTGAAAAAAACCGTAGTTAGAAAAGGAATACCCTAGGTCGGAGACACGACTTTAGAATACCGCAGTTAGAAAAGTTTAGCTAGTGAAACCGGTGAAATCGAAGTTTGTGACGTTGGCACTTCTGATTTGGTGGCTCTACGCTTTGGCGGTGTCGTTTTGAACGCGTAAACAATAAAAGTCGAATTAGAGTGTTTAGTGGTCAGTTATCACAATAAATTTACAGGTGTAACTTGACCGGTGTTTTTGTGTGTGGAAAATAAATAAATACATTCCGAAAATGGCAATTGAGTGTCTAGCTATTATAGTAATTACCCGGTGCATGTCGACACCTGGCTGGGCAATCCGACTACGGCGGATTGTTATACCTCCTGATGTCGAAAGCGTTGTGCTGTCGTCCTGCCTGTCCTGTACTTAAAAAAGTTTAAGTCGAATCGAGCGTTTGATTTTCAAGCGATCACCATTGAAAATCCAGTTATTGCATTGCGATCACAGCGGGTAAGTTGAATTTTTCGATACAATTATTATTAATCAGTAGACTTAATTTTATTGCAATATGTCAGTTATTAAAAGGACTCCACACCAGCATGTGTTATCTCCGTCTTACATACAACATAGCAGATTTGCATTCAGCAGAATCTATTCTATGCTGTTAGCTTTAATATTAGAATAAATCCTCCAATTATCAAACTTTTAAAGGTAAGAATTTTATCTAGGCCATCACATAGACTTTTATTGACATTTTAATTTTAAACTGAGTTATAGCTATATATAATATTAAAACATAGCTCACTTTAAAATTATTATATTAATATTATAATGTGATGGCCTAGGTAAAATTCTGCAACTTTTATGATTCACGTGTATAATATATATATACATATGTATATTATAGGTATTACTTACGTGTAACGTATACGTTATATCTTTATTCCTGTACTTGATTTTATTTTGAAATTTAATTTTCTTTTTTTAATAATTAATTAAATAAAATATATTTTAACCTAGATTATAATACATCATTAGTCATTACTGCAGTCAGCAAGTAAAAATTATTAATTTAATGATTTATTTTTTCATTTATTGTGTAGTGTCCTAGGGCCTAGGGTAACATGCAGAAGTAAGGTCGAGACACTGACGTCTGAGAATAAACTCACTGACAAATAATAAATAGAAATTATATTTTAAAACATAAAATGCATATTATTTAAAATAATTAGTATCATTAATAATTATTTATTTATTATTTTTTTTTTTTATGAGGAAAATAATTTAAAAAAATTTTGAACTAAGCCAAAAAAAAAAAAATTAATTTTTAAACCATTCTGAAAATCTTTATAATATTGTATATATGGAATAAAATGCATAATATTGCATATATGGAATAAAATGATTATTATTGCATATTTCGATTATAATAACGCAAAAAATGCATATTTTATAGTATATTTCGTATTTGATTATAGCCTTGCTAATTAAAGTATAAAACTTGGTTCCTTTGTCAAACATGGATTTTATTTTTATAAATATAATCCTATGGTACAATAGGTACGCGATAAAAGATTGAATAGATTGACGGAGAAAGATAAACATAATTAATAAAAGTATGAACGTCAATATGAAATTCGAGATAAAATATAATTTGTCGGGTACCTATATTAGTGTATTAGTATTATACACAATCCTACGTAGTACAGACTGTTCAGCTGTTCACGCTTCACTGTTTATTATAGACTATTTTTTATATAATAATTTATTATATATTTATATGTTTATTGTAATTGTCAAAGTTAATGGTTCAGACGAAGTTTCTTAATAAATTTATTTTGATAAATAAAATACATATTTTACAATTTTTTATTGCAAACAAATCCTAGCTCTGATAATTGTACATACATAATAATTATTATAGGCTCTTTTATTTAACTGAATATATTTTTATAAACTTTAACTTATTTAGCAACTTTAAAAATATTTAAATAAGTGTTATAAATAAAAATATAATGTTATTATAAACATTCTATGAACTTGGTTGCGAACAGACACACGACTTGCGTTTTATCTTACTCCTCAATTACAGCACTAAGGCGATGGTCCGGCTCATTAATTGCATGAAGTACACTGAATTCAGCCATCGTATTAATGTAGTATATATGTAGTTCATCGTGTTAACGGCTGTTTTAACCCACATCACAAGAAGTATAGTTAAAATACAGGAATAATATTAGTCCTACACATGGCCCCTGTTACTTAGATAATTTACTTAGGTACAGCTGCAGTTGATTGTATACATTTTCAAAGTTTTGTTTTCAATTTTTAAAACATATTAAAAAACAATCAAAGAGAATTATAAAATTATTTGAAAAACAAAATAACGAATAATTGAATCAATATAAAGACAGAATGACAGATCAAGTGTTAATAATTTCAATTTTTTAAATTGGTAATTAATTACGTTATTTGATCTACGAGTTAAACAATAGTATACTTAATCATTTTATGATCAAGAATTCATTTTTAAAATTTTGTGGTTATCCAAACAATAAATGTAGTGATAGATATATGATGATTCTTTACACTACTATATCTCACTCTATTAGTGAAAATCTCATAACAACTATTAAAATATATGAATCAGTCCAATATTTTGACTAGGTACTTATGATATATTAGTAAAATATTTTATGACTAAATTATTATACAAATGTACAATACAACCAAAATAATGTAAAATTTGTCTATCTCAACTTAATTTCATCGATTGCAATAATGTGAGCGATTAATTTCGTAAATTAGTATATATTCTACTACCTAAAAGCTATAATAGACAATAACTTTTAACTTTTTAGGTGAATTTCAAATTATCAGAAATTGATAGTTATTTCAGTAAATATACATAAATATATTTCGCTAGGTCTTTATCAAGCTTAGAATTTCTTGTACAAAGTAAAAACTTAATTTATTTTTTTTAACTGTCATCCGTGGTGGTAATTTGCCAAACAAAATATAATTAACCATGTATTACGTACTAAAAAACGAGTTTACGTCACATCATTTTAGTTTCATGAAATTATTCAGTTAAATTACGCTTTATTTAATAACTTTTTTTACTGTTATTTACAACAGAAATTACCATAATATACATAGATCATTGTGATGTATTTAAGTTTAAAAATATGTTACTAAAATACGAATGTAATATAATTTTACCTTCGATAATACAAATCCAAAATTTATTTCCTATGCTGCCACAAAGTCACAATGGAATTAAACTATAATGAAGTTCTGCTTTCTCAATATTTTCCCTCTGCAGGCCCAACGCCCAACATAACTATATACTTAACTGCATATAACTTCACAAATTTGTATAATTGTGTATTATATTAATATATTGTTTTGAGAATGAACTATATAATAATATTTGAGATACTAAAAATATCGAATAGTCTGTTGAAAGTTTGGCAACGTTTTTTAGTTTCAGTTTAAATCAGTTGAGTTAACTTGACTCATGTTTTTAATATAGACTTGATATAATATAATACATAGTATAGTGAATCAAATAGCTGAATTAGGTTTATATTAATGTTAAAAATGATTAATGCTCTGAGCCTTTGACATCTATACACATTATAATTGAGTATTTATATTATTAATTATCATTTATCGGAATAATAATAATTAATAAGTATTAAGTATTGACAAAATCTTTTATTCAAATGCATTAAATATTCTGGAACATAATGATATTAAAGTTTTAATTTTGGCGACATTTACACTCCTGATTAAAAATATTGTCTCGAACGATTTAACATATTAATTTGAGATTCACAATTAACACTATTTTAACGGTAAATTTACGAAATCGTTTCGTTTGATGAATATACCATTTAATTGTTGAGAATGTTTACAAGATCTACAGGAAATTCTAAATTCGTATATTTCAATGCGTTTAATGTTATAATTGTATTTTTTTTTTTTTTTAGCATCTTTATTTTTATAAGCTTTCAGTTTTGATATTTTTAATATGTAATTAATTTTTTTTATATCCGTAAATAAAGTGACGTATTTGAAACATAAAGTTTTGTATCAGGAATACACCATATGGCCGGTAGACGTTCACATAAGGCGTATAGGGATAAGAAGAGTAAACGATATCAGTTTTATTTTTAAATCACAAATGTTATTTTTAAACCCAAAAAAATCTAGATTTCATTTTAATTAGAAACAAATACAAAACCTGTAATATGGGGAAATAATGAAATATATTTTAAAACGCCTTGACGTTTATCAATTGAAGAAATAGCTGAAAATACGGAATAGAAATATGATAATTCAAATTAAATATTATATTCGATTACATGTAATTAGTAATTACACTTATTATTATTAGTTGTGTGCGTTATTTTAAAAGTTTTAGTACAATATGGATGCGTAATTTTTCTTTTTAGGGCATGTTTAACAGCATACTTATTTAAATATTTTGATGCGTAAGTACATATTTGATTATTTTTTATTGCATAAAAGTCTTGCTCTACTAATAATATTAAATGTTTTATGTTTCATAACACTGTTAAAAGAAATTCGAAAAAATAGATATTAGTAACCTCTATACAGTTGATAGTGTTTATACCTGCTACTATTTTTTGGTAATTTGAGTCGGTATACTTTAATTATGATGGAAAATAGGTGAAATAATACAAATACGATTTATCAAAAAAAAAAAACCGTACAAAGCTGTGATCAACATTTTAATATCGTTCAACAGTGTTGGTTTAGGAATCTTTAAACGCTTTTGCAATAATAGCACAAATTAGTTTTGGAAAAACTCTTCTATCTCGTTTCTAATAAAATAAACCTTCACACAACATTGTTTTCAATTTTCATGTGATATTACGCATATCATTATATTATTGTTTTATTATTTCAGTCGAACAGTCTGTACCTTTATTAAGCCTAATTGATGTTACAGAATTAAGTCTAGCTGGAAACCTTTAAGGTAGAAACTGCTCACGGTTATATGATTTTAACACATTATAACACGATAATATAAATATATTTTGTCGACAAAACATTGTCATAGAACTGCGTTTAAATACTTAAAGATACCTATTATAGATTTTACATACCATAGAGAAAGAATATTTACCTACGACACTTACGATAGTGGCCCGCAGACCGCGTTACCCCCTCGGGCGATAAGATATTGTTATTGCCTTTTTTTTTTTTTTAATTTTCTTTATGGGAAACACTCTAAAAAATATTTGTAATTTCAAACGTTTGATACAAAATAAAAAACTGTAGCACACCTTCCGTCAGGGCAAAAAAAATTCTGCGTTCAACGTCCGGTCGAGATTTACGTCGTTTTACTACGTGCGATAACTGCGGTCAAAGGGTATAATATATATATATGTGTATTTATATACACCTATCACAGTCGTCGTCGTCGTCGTTATCGTAATAATAATATTATTATCGGTGCGTGTTGAGAGAAAATTACCAAAGCGATAAGAGCATCGTCTCGTGGCGGGGTCCCACACATCATCATCATAACGTTGTGTACGCAGAGGGCTGCGTGTATTATGCTATTACATTATGTGTTAACTACTTACTATTATACGTTCTAGCAGCCGTTATCGGATACGACGTTATTTTACGAAATAATCGTAATAGGTAACGTCATCGGAGCTGGCGGTCTCAATAATAATATCATCGTACAACACACGTACATAATAATATATTGTACATGTGCTCACATGACAGCACGGATATTATATGTTGTATACAGAACGTTAAAAAATTACGTTGTACATTTTTACAGTCAGTCGTCACATTCCCTCGATAGACGTGGAAATATTGTATCATTAGTACTGCCTGCAGTGGCCTTTGTACACGAATGCATCGTCTACCGCGAGGTCTGCTGCAGCGTACCATTATCGAAGGTACTAGGTATATCGTAGGTATATGCTCGAGTTGTTATGTATGATCATATGCTATGATCATAATTCATAATTAATATACTTTATTATAACGTATTATAGTGCTATTATGCCGGCACAATGACGAAATTTTTGAAATATAAAAAAAATGCATCGAGTATCATGTGTGTGGTGCCCTTTCGAACGGTCAGGATTTTCTTTTTTACTGTGCCTATAGCAAATAATAATAACGAGACTCGAATAATTATGTGTTCGTAAAAATTGTGAAAATCTGCTCTGACTGCACCACACGAGTATCACGAGTAGTGCAGTATCAGACGTTTGGTTTGTCATAAGACAGTGCGTGTTGTTGAAAGCCTCTCCCTCTTCGGAGTAGTCAGGGTGGACTAGCGGAGTCTAGACTTGGCTTTTTGATGTTTTGTGTAACGAGTGAGTAAAATATTAGTAGTTATCCTATTGAGAACAATATTGTCTAGGAATGATTATTTCCCAGACGCGATAGAAACTTTTTGATTTTTATACTAGTGCTTAGTTTTAAAAATAAAAGCGTTCGTTTAATTGCTGTGGTTATAACTCTCTCCCTGCAGGGTCCGCGGCACAAACGACAAACATCAGGACAGAACAACAATTTAAAAGACTGCCTCGAAAACAGCATTTCGTTGCACTCTTTGCGTTTATATGGTCGTACGCGCACGTTATATTGTTATTTATAATTATTATCACAATCGTCCATCGTTATTTTTATTATAAAACGCAATCGAAATGAATTTGTGCGATCGGCGAACGCTGCCGCCGGAATCGCGACGCACGCAACGGCAGCGGCACAATCGCCGCACGGCCGTATCGGACGTGCCCGTTGTGGCGTCGTATTGCTCGTCATTCTCGTGCAGCAGTGCACATTGACCGGGTCTCGTCATCGTTGTCGCTTCTCGTCGTTCGCCGCATAACGCATTTCCGGGAGGAAAAGAAAATTATACAATAATCTACGTGCATTATTTTTATACAAAATAAAACACCACCGTCGTAAATTCTAAAAATAGGTTGTCGTCGGTTAAAATTTAAAATTTTTCCTCCCAGTCTCGACGTCGTTGTCACTCGCGAAGATTATTACATACGCGCGCGCACACGAATCGTACACGTACTTGAAGCGACATAGCGCGTGCAGCGAGAACATTGTTGTGCAACGAACCGACCAACCCCGAGACCGGACTGACCAGAGACCCGTGCAAGTATACCTGCACACACGCTTGTTCGCGAGTGTCCGGTGACCCGATAGCACGCCCGCTGCATCAGGACAACAGAGTCCGCGGCCGAGGAGACATATTACAATAGTTTACATCTACTGACCAGTGAAAAGCGATACGCGAATCATGTCGTCGTCGAGTGAGTAAAACTACCACTGTGCACGTCATGTTATATTATTATTGTAGTAATACGTGTATATAGGGTGTATCGGGTGTCTAATATATAATATGTTAAATACTAGTCGGTACTCGATAGTAACTGGTGTGTTATTCTCGTGTAGTTCCGTGAAACATTTTGGCGTAACTACATATATATATATATATTATATATACATAGATACTGAGAACCGTACGGGCAGGTCGATTATGGTTTACCGTGTAATGCCTATAGTGCTGGCGGGCTGGGGATGTGTCAGAGGCGTGATAAAATAAAATCATAATAATAATAATATCTGAGGCTCCAATTTGTACGATTTTGAATTATTATTTTAGTGTAAAATTGTCAAAGCCTCCAGATACACTCTGTATGTTATGCGGTACAGACGAACCTCGCACGTACAATGTATTTTTATACTTTATATATTATGTATGCTAGTTTTTTTATTGCGCACAAGTTTTCGACCTACACGCCTAAGATCGCGACTTTTACTCTATCTCTAGCCATATTCTTTTTAGTCTCGTTCATCCGTTCTCAAGGTGACGACTAGACCGCGTGTTTTCTTACAGTTGTTATACTACGATATTGTGTACAGGCACGTCCGTCGTTTGCACTTTTAACCCCCCCCCCCCCCCCCCCCCCCCCCCCCCCCCCGACCTCTATGTGGATATCAATGTTCTTAACCCGCACATCTTTAGACGATAATACCAATCGAACTTTAGTTTTGGACGATGAAGGTGATAGTGTATGACCTTTCAACATGATTTTTTAGTAAAATGTATTTTAGAAACCACGATCATTTATTGAAATATCATTTATAGCTGCTAATAAAATTGAAAACAACAACAAAGTAACCATTAATGTAATGTAATCAAATCCAAATGTTTAATATAAATTCGGTATTTTAGCGCAACAAAAAGTTCGTATCTATAGACTGAAAGAAACAAATAAATATTTAAAAAAAAAGTGCTTGTGACCTCGTTAGGTGACCTATATAATTTTCAAAAAAATCTTACATACCTCCAACACAATCCCCGTCGACTTTACCGTGTTGTTGAACGGAACAGGGACGACAACAGTAATACGGCTATAGTCATGACGAATTTTCTCGTTTCTCAATAATTATACATCTATATATATACATCGTAGGAGTGGTCCGCTCTATTATTACATCAACGATTGCGCAGTTATAACTACGCATAATACTCAACTCTCAATTTTTGGTTGCGCGCTTTTTTGCTTTTGATTCTATTTTATATTCTTGTACCTTTCATCACATGTATATAGATCGTCATATACCATTAAATCTCAAAGTAAATATTATTCAATGCGATCGAAATTATCTACATTTTTGATAGTGATGATATTTGATCAGCTGCAACCACTACTCAAATATATCTTTTAGTTTATCTTAAGTATTTTATTGAAACGGAATTACCTGTTAGTTGTGAATTATTATTATTCCAAAAGGTGTTTCACAGATAAAACGTTGAAATATGTATATAATGATTTACCAATTACGCCAAATTATAATTAAATATAACCAATCTAACTTGCATATTATGTAAGTATAATATTAAATGTTGATTACCTACACCAATGTTACTAATATAGAAATTTAAATTTCACGCCTAAATTATTTTGAATTTAGATATATTTTATCTTGATTTGAATATGGTTTCAAATAATTATGCTTATAAATATATTTAAAAATTAGCGAGTTTATGTTATACCTAGTATAAAATGAAGACTTTTTGATGAGATAAATGAAAGTTTAATTACAATTTTGAGTTTAATTTTTTTTTAAATAACTTGTCAAAAATACGTATCACATTTAACAGTTATAATTAGATCCAGTACCTAGGAATTGAAATGTATTAATATTTATTAGGTATACTGAATCAGATATTAATTCAGTGATACCCTAAAATACACTTTACTGGTTAAAAAAAACTTAGATAAAAAATATGAAACTATTTATATTTTAAACAGTGTATTATATTTATGATTAAATAACATATTTTTTCATAAGCCAGTCACAAAAGGTTAATGTTTATTATAATTGAATAAAAGGTAATAACTAATAAGCAATAACTATAACCAATTGACATGATAACTTAAGTGCAAACGAGTGTAAATTATATGGTTAATTAAGGTGATTTTGAATTAAATTGTTGAAAGTTGAATAATATGTTTATTTTACAATTTGTATAATTTGATAAACTATAAAAGAGTTTCTCAAAATCAAATTATATATAATTTATTTATTTTCATTGATTTTGAATAATAGTTTGATTTGAATATTGATCACAGTTAAATAATAAATGTAATTTAAATGATTTGAGTTTACCTACTTACTCGAATTAATGCTGAACTTGTTTATTAAATTTGGTAATAATGACTAACTGAACTTGACGATTGAATTTAAGCTGTACTCTCTTTGTGTTGTGAATAGTGATAACGACCATAATTTATTTAAAGGCAAATTATTTACTTTAATACTCCCAGTATCATTTCTCTTATTCTACTGCAGTTATGTTACATAAAGATTATCTACTCCAAAGTTCGCTATTAAAAGTAATTCACTGGCACCATAAATATTAATTTAACAAATAAATATTTTGATACACGATGAATATAATTTAAAATTTAAATCCGTTATGATGATTAAGAATGTTTAAAAATTGTCAATTTCAATAAATTTAAGTATATATAGTTCGTTTTCATTGAAAAGTTAAAATACAGTATACAGTATACAATATATATAATTATTTCTATACTTCTAAGTTATAAATGTATTACTTTTAACAACAATCGAAAATATAGAACTCGTTAATATCCTCGACTGATAACATTTATATGTCTGTAATAATAGGTATATCTTATAATTTTTCCAAAACTAATTTTCTTACGTAATGGATACCTATGAATTATTTGATAGCTAACGTTCATAACAATGTTAAATATTATATTGATTCATTATCAGTATTTTTTTAACTATATTATTATTTTATAATAGGTAGTAAATTTGTACAGTCCTATGCTGTTAAAATGTTTGTGCGTTAGTAAACTTTTAACTCTGATAACTACGAATAAACATTAAGATTAATAATTGTTCAAAAGAACTTTTATATATAAATGAATATGTTTAAATAGCTAGGTTTTTAATAATTTACTATTTACCTGAAGGTCTTTTGATATATATATATATATATTTATATTTTGTAATGTCTTATCATGTTATTTTTAGATTCAAAGTCAAATGCCGGAATATAATATAATATTATAGTTAATTTCAAAATTATCATTGGTTATAATGTTATACACTTGTTTCAATAGATAACTCAAAAAATGACCTAGGCTGACCCTAATTTATTTAAAGAAAATGTAATTTGTACAATTGAATTAAAATAAAATACTATTTCTTTTTCTTCTTCTTCTTCTTATTATTATTAGTTAAAACATATCTTTGACTTCATAGCCCGATATTATTTTTATGCTTACAGCATGTTATAAATTAATTATGAATTAAATCCATATAAGATACTCTACGTAAAATTAGACTTATTCAATGTAATTCAAAATTATTACGTTATTTCTCAAGTGAATTTAATTAATTTCATTTTATGTAAGTATCTATTTAACTAAAAAAAATCCGATGATTTTGCTCGATTCTATCTATACTCTGTAGTCTGTATAGTAGGTGTCATGTGTTATTGAATGGTATTTCGAAGGATATTTTATTATATGTTTCTGTAGCTTTTTGTAGTTTATTTGTCTATTTATACTACGGTAAATTGAATTCATTTTAGCCATAAATAAATCTCATGTATTTTATAATTATTATAATATTATTTCACATAATAGCTGTTTTATGCTAAGTCAATATTATTGTATCGTAAAATAAGTTGAAAATATTTAATGTGTAAACAATATTATGGTATTAATAACTTAAAATATTTTTTCAATATTTTGAAAATTTAATTTTTAAATCAAAAATAAAATAAAATTTCTAAAAAAATATTTTATGAATAAAAACATAATAACAAAAATGGTTACCTATTTTTTTTTTTTTTTTTTTTTTTTTTTTTTTAACTTGAAATGTCTAAATTGTATAGCTTTTTTTACTTTGACTCACAAATAAAAGTGTTTAAGTCCATTAATCAAATCAAAATGTTTACCTATTTTTTATTATTTTTTTTAAAGTAAATACTAGGCGTTTTTACTTTTGGCTCTTTAAAGTATCAATTAAATAAATTTTCTAACAGAAATCACATAGTTGATCACAAATTAACACAGAAATCAAAAATAAAATATTGTAAAACAATCACTACTAATCCATTTACTATATACCTATAGAATAACTACAAAATATAATAATATAATCTGTATACAAACATTACTATGCACTAGCTATAGTAGCTACTAACATTAATACAATGCCATTAATAGATATTGTGGATGACATAGTAAATAGGTATCATACTATTAAATTATGTTTTTACTGTTTGCATACTTTTATGCCCAGCACTAATTTTGTTTTATTGTTTGATTCTTAAAAGTAAATTCCAAATTAATAAGACACTTAAAAGCATCGATTGAATAATTATTTAAAATTTTCATACACGATTATACCTCATATTAAAATATTATATATATTATATTTAATTTCATTGATCAGAATATAATTAAGTTATTGAATTAACAAAAAGTTAGGCTCGTAAATTGTATATGATCAATTCTATAAAGTGTAGTTGTTATTGATTAATAAATCTAAAAACAAAATGTTGCACACGCCTATAAAATATGTATGTAATAATATATAAATAACGTTAACTTAATAAAAAAATAATTATTAAAATTTAGACTGCTGATTAAAATATTTTAATATTATATTATTACTTTTTAATTGTCTACTTTATAATACTTATATGATAGTTTATAATGCATTATATTATGAATTTGAATTACGATAACTAATAACTTATAAATCATAAACTATAATTACCTATATGTGGTTAAACTAATCGATAGCTCATAGCTGAATCAGTAATATATTGACCAAAACAACAAGCATTGGAACGATTCCAAAATTTAAATTTACTTAAAAAAAGCTGTGTCATCTTAATCGCAACTCTTACAAATAATAAAAATACATTTATTAATAGGTATAATTGTGTGCACATAATATATGTATTCCAAAAAAGTTTAGTGAAAAATATATAAAATTATAAAGGATTAACAACAAATTTTCCATTCATCTAATTGCTATGAATTTACAAAATTATTACAAGAAGTAATTCACCAGAAATAACATTGAATAACTATTAAGGTTTATCGAACATTAAATTATTATTTATATTAAAAAATTAATTTATATATGTGGCCGCATTCATCAAAATAGTTGATAAATAAATAATTCAGTTTATTTATTTACATTAATTTAAATAATTCGTGTGGAATCTTAAATGTAAACATCTATTTGAATTTTATGATTAAACACGGTTTGTAAAACTCCAAAAAATGTGCCCAAAATTCATGAACATAATGTCTGTAATGGCCATAAAACGATTGAACATTGAGCTACTATGTTGATACACAGGTTTTACTATTTTGGTATATAATCGTTGAATCCCGAATGTGAAATATAGCCACAATGAAATGCCAAGTTTAATTTCTTGGTAAAATGGTAACCAGTTAAACAACCTGAAAGTTAAAAAGAAGTATAAACCATTGCATTTTGAAATGAGTTTTTGTTGGCTTTTCTTTTAGACCATACTATTTTTGAACAAGTTGATTGCAATAAATTACAACATTTTTACAAACTATTCATAAAAAATATGATTACTGCTATAGATTTACAGCGCAGAGCAAATTCATTTTGAAATCAAATAAAATATATGGCTATACTTGTCGGTAATATACTCCACGAATGCAAAGAAACCAATCGTACACCAGTAGTTTAACACTGACAAACGATCTTCATTAATTATGGTTTTGTAAACCATATATACGGATATAACTATTTTAAAAGTAATTATAATAAGACGACCGAATTCAATCATATTTAAGGTTTAAACTCAGAAAAAATGTTTACATTTGATATGTTTACTAAATAATTGTCGACCAAAGGTAATGACTTGAATTATAAGTATGGGAAAATTATTAAGCAAACTATCACTATGGTTCTTACGAGTATAATAAATAGTATTTAATTTATTAATTAATGAAAAATAAATATTTACCAATAATCACAATCGCTACAATTATAGATTTTAGTAAGAATTGAGATTAAAAAATATGTATTTTATTAAATTTTAAAATATAATACCCGGTGCCCTTATCATTAAATATAATAAACTATTATTTGATAACTTACCATGGTTATTCTATAGCAAATTAGTATGCTGTATTATTATTATTATTATTATTAATTTCTATTGATAAATTAGAAAATTGGTTTTAAAGCACACATATCAGTAAATCAAAATAATTGACAAACAAACCGCAGTAAACAAAAGTAGCATCGATCATAGATCAAATCATTAATCAGACTTCAAACAATAACATTTAGGGTCTTAGGGATGCATATGTGTTGAACTGGGAGGGTCGTATCAGCAATTACTTTTTTTTTTAATTATTATTAATATTCATTATATTCATTTAAGTAAAAGAATCTGTAAATTGTTGATTTTTTAAATTTATTATTTAAAAACACGATGTTTGTACATTTTTTAAATTATAATATTCTAATCTAAATGATGTGATCATATTTTTTATTGAGATTTTACTATATTGATGAGATTTTAGTAAATCAATGATCGTGTTATTGTGTCATTATCTATTGCTTTTTATTTTGACTTAAAATTGTTTATAAATTATTACATTTGACAAATAATGATAAATATTTCTTTTTCTAGTTATGCTATTTATTTTAAATAATCGCATTCCTCTTTTTAGTTATATGTATTTTAAAAATACGTATAAAATAAATATACTATTGTGTGTTCAAGATTTGCTAAATATATATGATATTTTTATCGATTTTTTAATTTTTTTTTTCAGACAATGCATGGGTGACATTAGCCACAAACGATTCCTATTCGTTAGGAGCGTTGGTCTTAGCGCATTCGTTGAAAGCCGTTAAGACAGCGCATAAATTGGCCATACTAATTACACCCGGCGTAACGGTGCCTATGAAGTATGATTGAATATACAAAATTCATGACATTAAGATTTTGCTCCACTTATATTTTTTTTTTCTTCATGTGAATTCTAAAAAAATTTGTTTTTAATTATTTTGTAGGAAACAAATTGAAGCCGTATTCGATGAAGTCAAAGTAGTGGATGTATTAGATTCTAGGGATCAAACACACTTGGCTCTGATGTGTCGCCCCGAACTAGGAGTGACTTTCACCAAATTGCATTGCTGGACGTTTACCAATTATGATAAATGCGTGTTCCTCGACGCAGACACATTGGTATAAGCAATAATTTTTTTTATTAAATTTTATTAAATTTTATTACATTTTATTCACGATGGAATAATTTTCATTAAACACGTTGATATGTATTATTTAATAATTATTTATATTTACGTTATATGAATTATAGTAATTATAGTTTAGGTACACAAAATTAGCTCCAAAACAATACACTTTTACAGTCAATTATTATACATTTTTTTAAGCAAGCAATATTATCAATAATAATATATGTACATTGTACATTTTTAAACAATGAGTTACAAGGATACTCTAAATACTTCTTAAATGTAAGCTTAACTGTTTCATTTTAAGTTTGAATCTAGGTAATTTAATGACTAAATTGTTAATCTAACAATAACTTTTATTTCATATATTTATTAGATTTATATACCATAATTTTATAATATTAATATTAAAAATATAAAAAAACAAATACAATAACTTCGTATAAATCCCCAGTACATTTCATTATTTCATTAAGATTCAAATATAAAACTGCTTCTGCGTCTTAATTGCAAAATATTTTTATCACAAATATTAGGTGTATATTATATTGGATAAGGATTAAAATTACCATCACTCACTTACTCATATTTTTATTGATAAAATTTCTATTTGAATGGGTACGTTTTACGGTATGAACTATAAAGAAATTAAAATTTTAAATAAATTTGTGTAACGTGTAAAATGTAATATGAATATATTACACATATAATATTTTTAATATTTGATTATGATAATATAATTTTTTCAAATACATAATATAGGTACATTCATTAATGATATTCAATACTCATAACTGTTTTTGATTTTAAATAAAATTAAGTTACTGCCCTCCCTCCCTGAATTTTTATTTTTAGGCACCCATGATATGTTAGTTTTGATAGTAGTGATAACGTTGTAAGGAATTCAATATTATAGCGACAACATCCTTAGCTACTCTTAAGTCTTATAAGAAAAATGTCATCTACTCATTTTCTATCGTATATAAATTAATATAAAAATATTTTTATAAAAAAAAATATTATCTCACCTATAAATTTACTTATATAACTGGTTACTGCCAGTTACCACTAACTTACTGGTACGTTGTTACAAAAAAAATTATGATATTAATATTGTAGAAAGAAGGATGCGACTGTTTATACGTGTACATGTGTATTTATATTTTATACGCTACTGGTAATTAAAATTTTCTTTGATATGTCTAATAATGTCTAATCAGTGGCAAATTTTAGTTTAGATTGTAATGCGTAGTTACGAAAATGTATATTTATTCAGCACAGTTATTTATTAGTATTTTTAGACATGTGCCAACGTCGGAGCACTTGAGACATTTTGTATTTGGGGTCGTTCCAAAGAATTTGAGGTTCTCTGCGCATTTACACGGTTTTAATGTATAAAATGTGAATCACTTACATAAATTTACTAAAGTATAATGTAAAATCGCCAATCGGAGATCACAAAAATACGGCTTGATGTTATTTTTTAATATACATTGTAACAGTACTACGTATATTGATTAATTATGCATTGCTTAATAAAATATAGGTATCCTACAATCTTACTATGTGAATTAGAGCTGTGTAGCATTTAGGAATAGGTTAAATATAAGAATTAGTTATTATAAAAAATTATTTTGTGTTAGCATTAATATAGTAACTGTAAGTATTCTATCGATATTAACAATTTAAAACACTCATAAATATTTTTAAAAGTAGGTAAAATGATTATATAAAATGATTATTAATTTTTCTTTTGATACTTAGGATATTATGAAATATCTTTTTCTAATGAGTATCACTCGCTTTTACTTTGACAAACCATGAGGCTTGATAATATATAATTAACCTACGTTGTAAATGTTGTATAAACAATAAAGTATAAAGAAAAATAAAAGCGTAAATATTTTAAGGATTACTGTTATAACCATATATTATTTGTTATTCGTTATGTTTATATTATGTATGTATATATAATAAAAATAAAAATTATATTGCAAGAAAACAATATTTCCCAAAGTAAGTTTAAACGAATATACAAATTAATGAATACAAAGTTCGATTTTTGATTGTAATAAAAAAAAAAAATTAGCCGAACTTAGTACAGAAAACTAGTTTAAGTAGTGCGTCATATTTTATTAAATTATTATTATATGTAAAAGGTATTGCAAAACTGTGATGAACTATTTCAACGTGAAGAATTATCAGCTGCTCCGGATCCAGGGTGGCCAGATTGTTTCAACTCTGGTGTCTTTGTATATAAACCTTCTCAGGACACATTTGGCCAGTTGTTAGAATTTGCAAGGACCAGAGGATCATTCGATGGTAAAGTGTGTTTTATTATAACAATTATTGTGTATTGAATATGCTCGCGTCTTTTTTTTTTTTAGGCGGAGACCAAGGGCTGTTAAATATGTTTTTCAAAGAATGGTCTAATACAGATATTTCAAAACATTTATCGTTTACCTACAATGTAATTTGGTCATCTACATATTCATATTTACCGGCACTAAAACAGTAGGAAATTAATGTAACCTTCTTTGTTTTAAAATACATTGTAACTAAACGTAATTTTCAGATTTGGCCAAAATATGAAGATCATTCACTTTATATCTTCCAGCAAACCCTGGCTTCAGTCGTTTAATACTGAAACTAGACTTGTAACATCAACACATGGAGGGTCTGGATTACAAGAATTATTGCAACTTTGGTGGGATTTGTTCTGTCGTCATGTTCATCCCGAACTTTCTACCGAAATGGTAACATATTACTTACGTACTACTTAATTCATCAATTTATATGGTTTACCTTTACATTTTGGAATCGAATGCCTATGTAATAAAATCATTGTTTTAATTGTTTGCTTAAACTAACTTGTTTCGTATAAAAAGTTCAAATAGAAATATTCAAAAGATCCAGTGTTACAACTACTCCAAAATGGTATGTAAAGTGATTAAACGCTTTACTAAATATTAGTCTTAAAATTTAATTTTTAAATTAATCATGCATACACTCATCCTTCATAACTGCTGCTGGGGCTTCTGTCAATGGTTATTTGGCTTTTTGCATGCACTCATTTAGTTTTATGTGGTGTATTTTTTTTAATAATTTGTTTTCACATGTTCTATTTTACACAAGTAACTTGCACCGTTTTGTTTTATTTTTGCTTTTTTACACAGATAGAAAGTCGCCTCAGTAGCCGTTATTCCTATGATTTTCATCCCAAATCCTATAATAACAATAATACGTCTGATAATTATAGTCCTTATAATCAAAATAATTATACTTTTGATAACAATACTTCAAATAATTATTATAATATTCCTACTTATGATCCTCCAAAAGAGGATCATTATGATTTTATTGACCCTTGGGATGAGTATTTGGTTGAAAAAATTGAGCAAACAAGTTATGAAGTTGAAAAAATAAATGTTGATGGTGATAGAAATTTGGTGGAAGTATATTTGAATAATCATGGTGAACAAGAAATGGAAAATAATTATTGTATAAATAACTTTCATACGGAAGAGCAAACAAGAGACTGTAGTTTTCAGAATAATCTAGTTGAAGAATGTAATACATTTGAAAATGATGAAAAAAATAGTGAAAATGTTGAAGAAGTAAGAGAATTCAATGAGCAAAAGCAAGTACAAATGCCAGAGCCAAGTTGGTCAATAAGTGATAAACAAAATCCTGCATGTTCTGATGATATTCCCAATAACCCTATTTCCAGTTTAAGTGTAAATAACTGTCGTCCTGATTCTCCGACACATTGCGAGGTACCTAAGGATCAGAATTGTCATATAAATGTAAGTATTATATAATTATTAAGTGTACATAATCGTAGAATTTAATATGTTATATGTACAAGATATACCATACACATACACATACCTATACAATCAATCTCAGAAAAACTTTAATTTCAATTTATATATTTTTAAATGTATACATTTTTTTCAGGGTGGTTTGGCTGGACAATTTGCAAGGGTTTCATTGGGTGAAAAAACCGTTGAACAAAAAGCTCTAGAAGATTTTCTTCGACGTCAATCTTGGGAACAAGGAAACGTGGATTATTTAGGCAGGGACAGCTTTTCTAATATATGGTCTAAGATTAATGAAACTCTTGGAAGTACTCCAGAAGTTAGTATTGAGACTGTTGCTGTGAAAAAATCTACGCCGCCAGAAGTTGTGCATACTGAAGAACCAAAGCCATTGAAATCTGTTTTGAAAAAAACATCCACTACTATTCCACCAGTGAGTTCTGAGATTGAAATCGATAGTAGTGATCTAGCTGTTAAACCATTGGTGAAGCTTGACCTATCCAAGAATATTGTGAAAGAATTAAAGACACCCGATACTCCTACTGTTACTTCTCCAACACCTCCAACTACACCTGCTACCCAAGCTAAAGAAACAGTAAAACCATTGTCTGTAGAATCTAACGAAGAAACAGTAAAATCTGATGTGCTTGTTAAAGAGTCTGAACCGTCAGTGGAGTTAAAATCGGCTGAGCCAGAATCCGTGGAACTTGTAAAAGAACTGCCGGTATCTGACGCTTGTTCTTTAAAATTATCGAAACAAGAATTACCGAAACCAGAACTAGTGGATCCTGTAAAGGAAACACTGTCTTCTGATGCAGGTACTGTGTCAAAAGAGTCCTCAAAACTTGAAAAAAGTACACTTGAATCCAGTTCACCTGTACCGAAAACGGACGAGCCAGTAACATGCGTACCTCAGCCTCCAGAAACAGCTCAAGCAACCCAAATCTCTGTTGATAATTCCACACCATTAGTTTCAAACGATCCACCAGTAGCCCCAAAACGTACTAATAAAGGATCGCAAAGTGGTTCTAAAAACGCTAAATCTCCCGAGAAAAAATAAAACTATAATAAAGCAATATTACAATCAATCCATATATTATTATATACACGTTTTGTTTTGTTCCTCAGAGTAATATAGTTTTATTGATTTTCTTTTTTATTAACAAAAATAGGCTAAACTAATTAATGGACAATCAAAGCCAATAAATGTTTTTAGGCCAAGTTCATGCACACTTTAATTCTTATTTATATGCGATTTTCATTAAAATATTTGATTAAACCAATTCACGTGAAATAGTAATTAACTATTTGATTATGATAATATTTTAATAGATGAATGGATTTATATTTTTAAAATATGTGAATACTTCTGTTATTATATCAATGTTTGGTTGCCTACACCTGTTATTTTCAAGGAAAAAATAAATAAATTTTCTTCTGAACATAATATTATATTTATAAATATTGTTGTAATTTATTTGTAAATCAAATCAAACAATGTATTTTCTTAGTTATTTTGAATATATAATTCTAAAAATCATCTTTTGACTTAATTTGTGTATAATCTAATTCAGCGATACACGATAATGTGATATTATATTCATTAATTTTCATAATTTTTCTTATCATAAGTTAAATTAATAATTAAAGTGAAACAAAATACATCTACAAAGCTAATAAAAATAATTTTTAATAAAATATAAAATAGGATTGTTCTTGTTGTGTCGTTACATCGACGAATCACACAGTATTAGAATTATCTGACTGATTTAATTTATACATGATTGAGAAATTATTTAAATATATAAAGATATGATTATTCTGATTATATTTTGAACTAAATAAAGTTCACGATATAATATTTTCATCAAATTTTATGTTCTATATTACCAAATACTTAATTAAAATTACATTATTATCTATATCAAAATAAGAATGTACAGATTAGAAATGCTAAACAGCATCCGATAATGTGTGTAATATTAATTAAGACACACATTTTTTATTTATAAATGTCATATTAAACTATACTCGTTAATTGTCAATAAAATACTCAATTATTTTATTTTCTTAGGTATGTTATAATATTATATGTTTCAACTCTCAAGCATACATTTATATTTAATATATATTCAGAACAACTAATAATATTATTTATTTATTTATTTTATTCTACGAACTAAGCCGTTTGACAAAAGAAAAGTATTTTTATAATCTTATAAAAAAACAATGATAACAATTATTTTACGAACTAACATATTTTATAACGTTTCAATAATTTTTATGTTTATGTTACATTGTTATATGTGTGATTTATTGCAAGCGACTTTTAATGAAGCCATTAGAAAATCAAAAACATTGCTACCTACTCAAAAATCTAGATAAATGGTGATACGAGTATTATATAGTATTTTATATTAAACAATTCTATAAATTTGGATAAAAAAAAAATAATAATATGAATCATTGTCTAAACAATTTAAAGGTTAATAATTATGTTCTAATTTTATTTTTAGATTATCACTTACTTCAATTATTGGTAAGATTAAACTCCTGATTTTGATGTCAATTGATATTTTAACATTAAAATAATTAAACATATTTCAGGTTTGTATAAATTTATACTTCGTATATAAATATATAATTTAATGTTAATTCGATTTGTGATATAAATAATTAACTTTAATATGCGTTATCTATATGATTATATAATGTCCACTGACTACTTTTTTAATCAAAATAAATGTGAACTATATACTACTTATAATTTTAGTCGATTTTAATACGTCATTTAAACATTTGACAATTTATATTAAAAATCCAAAGAATTTATTTAAAACAATTAGGTATTAATAAATCAACTTTTAGAACGGTTGTATTCTAAAAGCATTAATAAACAATGTATACTAATAGAAATACATTTTTAATTAATTGGTTAATTATTTTATTTAACCATTTTAATCTATAGGTTTATTACTCACTTGGATCATTAATAAAAAAAAATAAAAATAAAATAATATTATCAGTTATTTGAAAAACTAATTTCCGGATTATTTCAAACTAATGACGCCTTTTCATAGATAGTTCATTTAACCTAAGTATACCTATTATCAATACACGTTTTTATTTGTTAATTATTTAGTATTGTGAATTATATCTATTATACTTACTATAATCTTAAATTGTACCTACGTTTTACAATTAGGTAAATGTACTTTAGGTATAATCAAAAAAAAAAAAAATAAATAAATAAATAAATAATAATCTGTTTATAAATGCTTTCTTTAAATGTTCTGGAAGAATATTTTTTAAATAATATTAATTATCCTTTAACAATCTACACACAATGTTAGCACCTATCCTCATTAAGTTGTTCACAACAATGTATTTATATTATTAAATTAATGCTTGTTTAACGTATTCACACGGACCACACGAACGTATATATAAATGAGTAAAGTATTAGTCGCCGTAATAATTTCCCAGTTAAATTTATAAAAAATCTTTAAAAACATCTATCCAAGTGGCTATAATATAACCCAAGTACCTACCTACATACATCATTCATATTACATTTCTATAAAATTGTACACATATGAACCACGGCATATTATTTTATTAACTCTCGACCAAAAACATTTGATAAATAAATTTGATGATTTTTAATATTTTGAAAATTATTCTGTTGGTAATTGCCAGTTATTTATAATTATTATATAGTTGTACTTAATGCCTGCCTTAAATGGGAATAATAGTTATAATAGTTATATTACATCAACGTGTAATATTCATATTTCTAAGCGAATTTATCGCGATATCGCTTTAGTTCGTAAATTACAAAAACAATTTTGTATACTTTTTATCATTGTTAAATATTAATACTTGTGACAAATAGAATTTATAAAACGTAAAATAATTTATAATAATTTATATTTAGTACCTGCTTATCGGTTTAAATAATAATCATGATGTCATTATTTCATTAGTTTCGACATAATGATAAATCGCCAAGAATAATACTGAAAATAAAATATAGGTAATTTTATAAGTGTACCTATTCAATGTGTTGAAGCTTAAAAAATATACTATTAAATAGTATATTTTTCTCGACAGTTATTTATTTATTTTATTTTATTTATTTATTTTTTTTTTTGTTAACCCATTGAAGATGGACAACACTTAAGATCTTTTAAGCTCATCTGAAAATTTATCCACACGCCATGGTCATTGTGGTCTTGTGAAAATTCATATTAATATTCATCCGGTAGTTTATCGGTAGCCGGATACACTTGCAAAAACTGAACAAACCAAGTGGGTTAATAACTTCCTACTTAGTCTACTTCCTGTATTATGTAGATGCACTATACGTGCATTTTTTATTTTTAGTCGATTCAATTTGGAAAACAATACATAATTATGGGTAGGTAGGTTTACTGCAATATTATGTATTTATATATTATGATACAGTGTGGGTATGAAAAGAAAACCGTTATTATTGATTGTGAGTTAGTTCACGTTGAAATACATTATTTCAATTACTCAGTGACTATATATAATTATTTTTTTTTTTTAATATAGGTATTTAAGTACATATTTATATACCTGGAAAATAAACCACCAATTATAAACAGTAAAATTATATATAGGTAATGCATAAAACATTCATTTACATGGATACTATTGGTAATTTGAGACTATTAAGTATGTACCCATTATTCATTTACACAATATTATTGTCTTTTATAAAACATTAATAATTTTATACTCATTATTTAACAATATTATAAATTATTTTGAGTTAGTTCAAATATTTTTATTAATAATAATGAAAACGCAAAATTTATTATTTTTAAATTAATTTAAATGTCTATTGAATTGTATCGAAATGTATATACTTAGCAACACAATTGAATATTTATTTTTGACTAGATTATAAAAAATTATTTTCTCAAACTTTAAAACTTTTGTAAATATTTATGACTTGTTTACCGCAACAGTTAAACAAGATCAATGAGGTATGTTGGGTATTATTTTTTGAATGCAATGATTAAGATACTAGATATTATTATTATTAAATTAAGTAGATACACTTGTATAGTTTATATACAATATACATCAAACAATCAAGTTTGAGTGACATATCCAATCCAATAGTCGAATCTACGTGCAAAAATATTTCTAACTACGTGTGATAATAAGAACGAATAATGTTTCATGAATTTATTAATTCTCATATGAAAATACCTAAAAAGGGCAGTTTTTTTATAAAAAGAATACTCAGTTTTCTGTAAGGTTATTTTTTATTGTTGTTTTAAACTGATAGAAAGGCCTTTGGTCAGTTTGGTCTCTTAGAGCTCCAATGCAGCAAAATTGTCTGCATCCCTTGTTTACGCCATTGATCATATTGTTATGTGTAACAACTAACAGAATTATATAAATAAATAAATAAATAAATATATATATATAGGTACTAGGGTATAACTGCGGTGTATCACTTAAAACGTAATCTTCAACAAGTGCTACGGTAAACCATAGTATGTTATTTACCTGTATTTTGTTTTAGATTTTGAACAAAGCAATATAAACGTAGGCACAATATGATTGTTTTTAATAGAATTAGTTTTGGTCGTTATGTTATACTTTAAATAATAATAATAATCCTGGAGACTTACCTAAAGCTTTTTTAACGGGTATATATAATAATATATAGGTACCTAATATCTGTATATTTGTATTATTGTCGACATTATATTATATTTTATACTACCTATCACGCCACCGCGGTAATAAATGAGTAAATATTTATAAATATTCAATGGTCTTAAATTTCAACATTGTATATATCATCGGCATATTTCACTTTACCAAATAAACCAAAATATCTAAGCCTACACAGTATATACAATAGATATATCTTACAGTTATTCGTCTCTAGTATACCAATGAGGTAAAATACAAAACCCTTCCCAAAAGACTAACACATCTACGACCTCAAGTGTGAATATTATTTGTAGAACGTGTATACCTACCTACTACCTATATTCAAAATAGTATATGATACTATATACAAACCTATATATATATATCGAGGTACCTAACGCAAAGAAACTTGATGTTTGTTGGGTCTAAGGATTACCAGATTACTTATATATTATATGTGTACTTATATATGTATGTATAAATAATTTATCGCTATACGTTTACAGGTGATATATTATATTACATACAATGTTTGTACAACAAATTTCACACAAGGCCTTAAAAAACGTTTCAAGATTCTTTATTTCGGTGCAAGTATCGACTAT